AAAAAGAAATACTTGAAGCAGCTCTACTTCTGAAAATTAGCCAGTGACAATGTTATGAATCTCAGCATTATCTGACTTTCTTGCTTTGTTGACATCAAGAGGGATTGCTCACTGGGAGAGGAAACTATAAATGGGAGAGATGGATTAACATAAAGCCCCAATGGTAGATCTGGACATGCAGGCAATTTTGAGGAGGACATAGACCAGAAAATATTTCATTGTGTTGTATATAAACTGCCATTAATTAGAGTGAAGTGGTTTGTCTCTTTCTCTCTTAGTCTTCAAAGTAATGTCTTTACTTTTTGATACTTTAAAGAGGCCTTTTGCAAATTTTCCCAATCCAATTTATTATCTACTATTTCCATGGCCATTGATTGTGAACCCATGTAAAATGAAATCCTTGACAACTTTGACACTGGCATGACTGAACCTTATTTTCAGATCCATTTAACATTTCACATTACTTGTATTTGTAAAACACAAAATGTTTAGAATTCATTCAGATAACTTTACCAAATTGTTGTTAGCTGCCATCAAGTAGACTGCAGTACATAGTGATCCTATAGAAAGCAGATTGAAACTGCCTTATCCTGCTTCATCCCCACAATCTCCCCCATTCTCAGTCCTGTTGTTATAGTCACTGTCAGTCCATTCTTGGTAGGGTCCATCTTCTCTTTCTGACCCTTCATTTTCCCAGGCACGATGTCTTTTCCCAAGGACTGGCACTTCTTGACAACATGCCTAAAGTGTGGGAGATGGAGTTTCATGATTCTTGTCTCTAACCCTGGTTGCACTTCTTTCAAGGCACATTTATTTTTTTCGCAGCCTGATTGAAAGGGATCCTTCCTTGGCCTTTCTTATTCATTGTGTAACTTTCAGATGCATAAGAAGCAAGTAAAAATACAAAGGCTTGGTTCAGACACACTTTAATCTTTACACTGGCATTCTTACTGTTTAGTATTTTAAAGAGGTCCTTGACAGCAGATTTTTCCCAGTGCAACACGTCTTTTTAAATAGGAGGCCAAATAAAATCAACTCACACCCAATGATGAGTAAATATTCTACCCTAATAATACATTTGGTCAGCATTATGGGGCTGGAATTCAGGTTGGAAGTCTCCTTGAGCAGCCAGATTCTACAGAGGTTTGTTTTCTGGTTCTGATGAGGATTAAGGTAGAATGAACTCTATGAACATGGAGAAGCAATGAAAGTTATACAAGTGTTCAGGTCTTTCATGCATACAGTCGCTATGTGTCTCCTACAAAATAACAACAACAACAACGAGAGAGAGCTCTGTTGGCCTAGTGGATAGAAAATTATGCTACTAAGCCAAAGGTGAGTAATTTTAATCTGTGGTCCTCTTAATTGTTTTTGGTCAAATATTCTTCTATGTGTTATAGCACTGGTCTGTCCATTTGATGTACAGAGGTAACATGTGTTTGCTGTGATGCTAAACACTGACACTGATGTGTCTGATGCGATAATGTTACCCATGATGGAGAGTGTTTGGTGAAGCTCCCAATTAAAACAAGCTTGGAAGCAGGAGTGGCAGCCACTTCTGAAATAGCTTGCCTCCTGAAACTCTATGAACTTGGAGAAACAATGAAAGTTATACAAGTATCCAGGTCTTTCATTCATAGGGTCACTATGAGTCATCTACAATTCGACAGCACTTAACAACAACAAATACATCTTTTGATTTCTTAACTGTTGCTACTATAGGTATTTATTATGAATTCAAATAAAATTGAGTAGTTGACAATGCCTATCTTTTCTCCTTATTAAATAAATCCTATAAAATAAAATCATGTGCATGTCCAATTTTCAATATATATTCATCTTTGTTTATTAGTACACCTCACTACATTTTGTGAGACTTTTTTCTCTCATCTATTCAGCCTTCAGTCTTAGCCACTTTCTTACTATGTTAGTAGCAAAGCACTATATCTTCCTGTTAAGATATTGGCCATTATAGTTCTTTCCAAGTCTTTGCTGTTAAGAATGTAAAGGTCTAAACACTGCATGAATCTCTCACTCATTGCCATTGCATTGGAAGTGACTCATAACTACCCTCCAAATCTTTCTGAGACTAACTCACACATGAGGAGATGGCCCATCTTTCTCCCCAGGAGTAGCTGGTGGGTGGCTAGAGAGATGTGGTCTTTGAGTTAGTAGCTGAATTTCTTATAGACTATGCTGCCACCACTCCCTTACTATATGAATGCTGTATGACATCGAGTCAGAAGTGACCCACAGCTAACCCTTCAACAGGTTTTCAGAGGCAGAAAAATGCACAGGAGGAAATTACCAGTCCTTCACCCACAAAGCAAATTGATGGATTAGAACTGTATGGCTTTGGAATTGCAATGCAGCTTCTTATCACTAAGCCACCAGAGCTCCCTTACTATAGGAATAACATGGAAAAAAAATCTTAAGCCTTTAATTACTGGATAAACCAATTAAAATACTGTTGGGTGCTCCTGAGTTGATTTTTGACTCAGAGCACCTTTGTGTGACCGAGTAGAAGTGCCTCATTGGGTTATCCTAATCTATCTTTTAATAGCAAATCAACAGATGTTGTTCTGTGGAACTACTGGGTAAGTCCAAACAGCTAACTTTTGGACCATCTGCATTCATGGCAGTACTATTATTTAATTCTTGAATAGTTTTCCAGAATGAATTAACAGCATCAAGTAGTCCAGTTTCCAGCTCTTGTAAAATACTGCCAAAGTATGATTCAGAAAGACTGGTCCATGGTACAGCATTACACTAAACAACTAAATCTACACAAACTAAAAAATCAACACCAAACAAAAACTCAAACCCACTGCCTCTGCTGGAGTCACTTCTCACTCAGTGACAAGTGAAATTACTGGGGAAAAAAAATAAGACAGTTCTACCAATTGTTGTTGTATCCACTGGAAGGCCAGAATTGTGCACAGAATGCCAAGGCCTTGGTGAAAAAGACATTGACCTCTTTGCTTTATTTTTTCTATGGGACTGCTTCCTCCCACACATGCTTTTTGGGGGTGCTTTTTTTAAGGCCTGCCAATTGAAAGAAGTGGTTACCTGATCTGTAATAGGGCCTTGGGCAGGGAGGGTAAAGACTGAAGTTCTGGCTTCTCATCAGGCTCTAAATGAATCTGTGTGCATTTGAGAAGGAACCAGCCGATAGCTGACCCTCCAGTGGGTCTTCAGAGACAGTTAATCACATAGGAAGAGATTTCCCATCTTCTCTCACACAGCAGCTGATGGATTAGAACCACATGCCTTGGGGATTGCAGTGCAGTTTTTTACCACTTTCACTGTCCTCTGCACTCACCTAGTGTCTGCTCGACCATCCACTGCACGTGTCCAGTGCCCTTAGTTCCCGGAAAGAAAGTTCCCTGTAGTTGGTTGATGTCAGATTAATAGTTACCCACTCCTGGCAGAGGTGAGCTTAGCAGAGGTCAAAAGCTAAGATGATGATTCTCTAAAATGTGGGTTTTAAGACAATTTATTGTTGTTTTAGTGAAAGTTTACCCAGCAAATTGGGTTCTCATTTAACTGTTGTATAAACAATGTCCCATGATACTATTTACAATTTGTCAATGTATCAGCATTCTCATTATTTCAATTCTATTTTCCTTAATCTATTTTACTTTCCCCTCCTTGCATTCTCATTTTTGCTTTTGGGTAAAATTTCATTGTTTAAGGAACACATCACACACAGATGATGCTTGTTTTAGAAATCTACCTGTTCTTTTGTTGAAAGTTGACAGTTGAGAGTTGCTTAAGTTCTAAATTCAAAGGGAATCTTTGGGTTCAGAAAGCTTGATTTAAAAAAAAAGGTGGATTTTTGGGGGGGAGAATTTGCATTTTATTCTACATTTTTCTTCCATTCTAACAAATGTGTGGTTTCTGACACTAGCCAGCCAGGAGGAATGGAAACAGGGGAAGAATCAGTTTCCCCTGATTTCACACAAAACAACCCAAACTCTCTCTGGTTGACTTTGGAAGAAGTATGTGAGAGAAGAGGAAAGTGGGTTACATGGGTCCAAATTTATCCTGACATTCACCCAATCATTCACCTTTTCTTTGGGATAAATGGAACAAGAAAGGGGGAAAACAAAAAAAAACAAACAAACCGCCCCCCCCTCCAATGTGTAGTTGACAGCCACATCCACCTCTTGGTGACCCTGTGTTACAAACTATAACTGCTCGTAGACTTTTCTGGGCTGCATTTTTTATGAATGCCAATTGCTAGGCTTTTCTTCCACAGTGTACCTACATGGATTCTAATCTCCAGTCTTTAGGCTAGTAGTCCAATGCAGACGTTTGTGCTGTCCCAGAACCATGGATCGAATCACTGGAGAGATTGGAAAAAACGATGAGGGGAGGTTGGAGAAGTGTAAAGGAGCAGATAAACCAGTGTTTATGAAACCTTTCTTGGGAGTAGGCTGAGTGCCAGGAGCTTTATGTATATTATCTTCTTGAATACACCAATAACCAAATGAAACTTCATGGAGGGGAAGAAAATTCCAGAATCGTTTCAACAAACTTTGCCCAAGCACACAGTGATAATAAGCAGCGCAGCTGAGATAGGAACCTGTTCCTCCTACAAGTGAGCCGTGCATGACCCCGAAGACTGCCCCCTTCAGGGCAGAGGGTGACTCTACTCAACTGAACAGCTATCAAGTGATTTTCTTGCCAGAGCCCTGTACAGCTCCTCTCTTGCTGCTTGTTGCGTTAAGTTCAGCAGTAAAAGGAAAATTGAAGTTTAAGAGGAAAACAACATTTTGCCTACCAGCAATTTTTATTTTCTAAGCTGCTGATAGAATAACAGCTCTCACTGAGTGCGCACTGAGAATAAGTCCACGTGTGCTTTGTTAACAGGAAAGCCGTGGGGCGGAGCGCCCGGGAACACCGCCTCCTGCCTGCGCTCCCGGCTCCGGGAGCTGAACCGAGGAGCGCTGCGCGGGCACCTGGAGGGCTGCGCCCGGGTGCGCGGGGAGGAGCAATTGTGACCTTCCCGGGCCCCTCCCTCCTGGGCACTGTGATGCTGCACGGCAGCTGCTGGCCTGGCATGCCTGTCCCCGGTCCCCTCCCGCTCAGTGTGTCACAACAGCGGAGGCGGCCGTATCTGGAGCAGTTGAGGTGGGCAGCCCCAGCTGGGAGGAGAGCAGACGAGGAAAACGGTCACGATGGTGAGCCTCCTCGGGCCTGGGGGGCCGGGGCCGGAGGTCAGGGATGCGAAGGGGGTGCTCAGTTTCGGACTTGGGTCTCCGCCGGAGGGAATCCACTATACTTGGTAGAGCCATCGCTTTGGAGCTGCAGAACTCCTCTCTGAGGGGTGGGATGTGGGGGTGTCAGTTTTTTTGTCAGAGTGGGGGTGGGGAGAGGTCGTACCTTCGGGGCAGGGGTGGGGGCACTTGGTCCAGGTACTTGTTTTTGGTGGGGGAAAGTAAAGACCCGCGCAAGTGGCCCCTGAAAGGACTAGCTGGAAGATTCGGGCGCGCAGGTGAGGGGACAAGGACAGAGGGAGGAGTGGATGAGCAGGTGAGATTCGGAGGCATCCTCAGACCTGCAGATCCGCGATCGGGATCGGGGAGGGAGCAAGGTCGTGTAGGGATTCCACAGCTGCCGAGTGGGTGCAGTCAGTTCTCCAAACGCAACCAAATGTGACTGAGACCTGGGGCGTCGCAGTCCCCCACACTCGGGCTGTGTTCAGTTCGTGAGCCTCAGCCAGCGGCTTGTTTCTGGGGCACCCACAGTTCGCGCGTGTCCGGGTCCCCCGGGGCGCTCAGCTTCTCAGGTACCTGGCCTTGGAAGTTCCAACTCCGGCTTTTCCGGGGCGGAGCAGGGGTCAAAGCAGAAGGACTTTTGGTTTTGCTTTCCACCTGGGAAGGATGCACTAAAATCTGTAGTTACACTTCCAGGACCCCCACCCTACTCTCTGGTGGGTAATAATCACCCCCAATCCCTGGCCGCCTGGGAGAGGAGGGGAAATCTCATCACCTAGAGAACTGCTTGGAACCCTAGCAGCGCCATGTTAATAATTTGGCTATTAACCTTAAGGTTAGCTGTTCAAGAGCCCCAATATACTTCAAAGAAGAAACCAGAAGCTTCGAGGGGAGAAAGGTAGCATTCAGATCTGAACCCCGGTGAGGCGATTCTGCTCTGTTCCACCGGGTTGCTCGCTATGTGTCCAAGTTGGCTAGATGGCAGTGGATCCTGCTTTTTATAGTTTTGATATCTCTGCTCAGCCAAAAGGGAATGAGACAGCTTGCTTCCCTAAACATTAAAGCTTCACAGACGTGGGGAGCAGCCCTTTGTGTCCTCTAAAGTCATAGTGAGTCAGAATCGCCCCTCAGTAGTGGGTTTGGCGTTTCAGCAGAAGGTGGGTTGGAAAGGAGGTGGGGAGCTGAATAAGTCTATTTCATAGGCCAAGGTCAGGCTCCCTGGGCACTTTGGCTCCAGGTGTCAGTGACAGAGCAGGCCACTCGAAACTCGCCCCTCCTCCCTTGCCCCTTTCGTTTTGGTAAGTGCCCAGGTCCTTTTAATTCTGACCTCAGGTCTACGGCTTCTAGTTCCAGATCTGCCTAGAGTTCCCATTTCCCCAGAATGCTCCCTGGAGCTTGACAAATCTGAGGGGTACGGAGGAGAGCAGCCAGAAGAACCCACTCCTGCCTGAAGCCAGTGTAGCTGTAAAAGGAACTCGGAGAGTGGGGTTTAGAAATTTGTTTCCCATTGTGCAGCTAGCTCTGTGACACCAAAGAAGTCACTTAACCTCTCTGGACTGGTTTTTCTCCTATGGCAAGTGAAGAGGCGTTATAATACAAATGTTTAAGGTTCTAATTAGATAACAATACTACATATACATTTTAATAGTTATTAACCTTTATGTAACAGAGAATTTCAAATATATGCAGAAGAGGAGAGGATGGTATAATGAATTTCCATGCATATGCATTACTAGTTTCAACAATTAACCACTTTTGACCAGCCTTGTTTTATTTCCCTTAACCTCCTCCTCCCTCCCCAGTTATTTTTAAGCAAATCCTAGTGCGCATACTACAGAATGGGTATTTAATATATCTCTTGTTTGATATGCAGCAAGGGCTTTATAATTTTCAAAGTGCTTTTCCTGGAATGTTTCAATTCTTATCGGAGTGTCGAAGTGACTCAGAGAGGAACTTAAAGGAGGTTTTCATGGGAGTCAAGGATCATCATCCAAACCTCTGAGCAACTGCCCTTGTGAGTTCAGTAGGCAAGCTTTGGAAAACCAGTTAGTAAACCGAAATATTAACCAATACAACCTTATTTTATATGTGTTAAAAATTTGGATGTTTGAAAAGGAAATTTATTTTATGGTTGACTACTTCAAAAAAAAGCAATGATATATTTTACTTCTTTTTGTAACGATGTGTTCCAGAATTCAGGGGCTATTTAGAACCATTTTTTCATATGCATAGGCTTGTCCTGATGTGCAAACCTGTTCTGTTAATCATTTCCCACTCATGGCCTCTCTTTTTAAAAATAGCTTAAAAAAAGAATAACTTGGCTCCTTCCTGAAAGGCTAGAGTGACATGTTTATGAACCTAGATCCAAATGACTCCCACTCAAAGAAGGTCTTTCCTTCCTACAATGGGTTAAGTTTCAAGCAGCTATCTCCCACAATCCTTTTCCCCTGAGTGAGGTGGGAGGAGGCTGCCTCTGAGTTAAGCAGAATTAGAGTTGACATTGCTGCACATTATAAGCATGGCATTTTCCTATAATTGAACATTTTCATTTGCACTCACTATCCCTCTTGTAAGCAACCCTCCTAGTAACTGAGACTTTTATTGGAATGTATTTACTGGGAAGTGGTATGGAGAATCCCGTCCTTGGCAGCAGCAGTCAAAAATAAAATCTAAAGATTTATTGCATTGGGTAAATATGTTGTTAAGGATCTCTCTAAGGTGCTAGGGGCAATGATTGCCAGTTTAAGGACTAAAGTACATCTGATTCAAACCCTAGTCTTTTTATCTGAGTAGAACAATGACTAAAGATGACAGAAGAATTGATGAATTTGAGTTGTGCTTTGAGAGAAGAGTAGTAAATATCCAAGAGAACAAACAAATGTGCCTTGGAAAGAGTACAGCCAGAGTGCTCTTCGGAGGCAAGGGTGGTGAAGCTTTATCTCATGTATTTTTGACATGTTAGAAAAGTACATCATGCTTTGAAAGGTGGAGAGTCAGCAACAAAGAGGAAGACCCAGAACAGATGGACTAACACAGTGACTGTAACAGTGGGCTTAAGTATATCAGAGAGGGTGAGGATGGCACAGGACAGGGCAGGGCTCAGCTCAGTGTTCATGGGGTCGCTATGAGTTGTAGTTGACTTGACGGCACCTAACAACAGCAACATGGAGAATTCTGACCACGTGGCCCAAGTTAGAGAAAATGTTTGTACTTTATGGGAAGGGAGAACACCCACAACACAGCCTCCTCAACACCCTTCCTCTTGTACTGGGAAAAACACTAATTGTGTTTGGATGACAATAGATATCAAAGAGCATGCCAGGGGTGAGATGGACACAGCTGCATGTCCTCTCCTCCTGCTGTCTGTCCTGTGTAGGCAGGCATGGCAGGCATGGCCAAGTTCTGCAGGCAGGTACATATGTTCTGACTGGGGACACAACATGGAGCTTCCAAGGTTCCACAAGCCCCTGTCACATCCTCCCTACTCATCTGTCCCCAGAGACCACTGGGTCTCAATAACACAGCTCAATAACACAGGGGACCTGGGGCTGAAGACTTGGGTACTTGAGGATGAATTAGTAAATTTTGATAGGAACATGTTAGGCCCAGATAAAAATAGGTTCTGAGGAGGAAATATTTGGTGAATGCACAGCCAGCGATAGGGGCTGGGTGGGAGGAAGGGATGATCTAGGGGGCAGGAAGTGGACCAACTGCTTCCTAATCTCCTGAGGCAAAAAGAGATTAGCAGCACTATCTGCTGTCTTCGTAACTGGTGTTTCTCCTGTCCGTGTACCCGACTGAACTTCTTTCAGACAATGAGCCATGGAAGAGAATGGAAAAATGGAGTGGGCATTTTGTGTACTGGATTAAAGCTCCTGAACTATCCCCTACCCTTTCTCCTGTTGTCAGCTAGAGCGCTGGGGCCTTTTGGCACCACAGAGCTTATACCCTGAGAGTCCACTCCCCAAGCAGAAACCCCCTGCCTTTCTGTCAGCCCTATTGTCGTGCTAACTGCTGTGCCTCTGAAATGAGCGCTGTTCTTGCCACATCCACTCAGTGATGCCAATTTAGGTCGACTCTTTGTTCTTGCTGCTTCTGGCTTTGTTCAGAAGGATTCCAAATATGTCCTAATTGAAGGGTTCTGTGCAAAGAGAATCCAAACAATCTTTCATGACTCACATTCCTTCTTACCTTAATTATTTCTCTGTAACCCCATCTTAATTATCTCTCTGTAACCCCTGGATATCTGTAACCCCGTGGATATCTATCTACCTTTCTACTTGCCAGCTGGATCTGGGTCCTAAAAATATATATGATTTATTATCTGAGCTTGCCAACAGGAAACGATTTGGTGTAATGATATGCTTTTTTCAAAAGCAGCCATGTGATATTTAACCTCACAGGTGGGCCAGGTGGATCTGGGCTGGCTTTAGGTTTTTGGTTGGTATACATAGCTGGCCACTTCAGCACTTTGCCTAGCTAACATACCCGTTTTATTGTTTTGTGATATTTTGAAGTGATTTTTAAAGCAGCAAAGCTTTTTCTACAGAGGATTAATGATCAGCCGATTTTAGTTCTCTGAGAGCAAAGCAAGAAGAATTTAATATGAAAAGAGAAAAAAATATATAATATTGATAAACAGGAGGATTTTTTCCTTGTAAAAGAATTAGGAAAGGGTTGTAAGATTCTAGAATTATTATTTTTTTCATTGTTCTGCAAAACAAAGACTCTCTTTCCCCTGGGGGCTGTCTGTAGGTGGCACAGATGTCTCATCTGCTTTGTTCTCCATGAGCCTACATGCCAAGCTGAGCAGTCTGTGGCCTGCCCTGAATTTTCCTGCCTCCAGGCCCTTGTTTTTAGTGTTCTGGCCAACTAAAATGCCCCTCTTGGTCATTAGTCATTCCACATAGCCACATTCTTCAGGGTCCCTTAAAATAGTCTTTGTGCAGAAGATCAATCTAGTT